TTAAGAGTGCATTTCTCAATGGTTACATCAATGAAGAAGTATATGTTGAGCAACCTCCCAATTTTGAAGATGACAAGAAGCCCAACCATGTGTACAAATTGAAGAAGGCATTGTATGGCTTGAAGCAAGCACCTAGAGTATGGTATGAGAGATTGAGGGACTTTCTACTCTCTAAGGGGTTCACAATGGGCAAGGTTGACAACACTCTTTTCATCAAGAAGATTGGAAAAGATCTATTTGTATTGCAAATCTATGTAGATGACATCATATTTGGATCAACCAATCAAGACTTTTGTGATGAGTTTGAAAAGATGATGGCTAATGAGTTTGAAATGTCCATGATCGGAGAGTTGAGTTACTTTCTTGGTCTTCAAATCAAGCAATTGAAGAATGGTACTTTTGTGAGTTAAGGCAAGTATATCCAGGACATGATCAAGAAGTTTGCCATGAGTGATAGCAAAGTCATTAGCACACCTATGGGAACCAATGGCAACTTGGATAGTGATGCAAGTGGAAATATGGTGGATCAAAAGTTGTATCGGTCTATGACTGGAAGCTTACTCTATATGACCGCATCAAGGCCGGATGTCATGTTTAGTGTATGTATGTGTGTAAGATTTTAATCCTCACTAAGAGAAAGTCATTTGAAGGCTACAAAGAGAATATTGAGGTACTTGAAGCATACACCAAATGTCGGTTTGTGGTATCCCAAAGGAGCAAAGTTTGAGCTAGTTGGTTACTCCGACTCGGATTATACGGGATGCAAGGTTAAAAGAAAGAGCACTTCGGGCATATGTCAATTGTTGGGAAGATCACTTATTTCATGGTCATCAAAAAAGTAAAATAGTGTTGCATTATCAACCACCGAAGCCGAATACATATCCGTCGATAGTTGTTGTGCACAAATACTTTGGATGAAGGCCACTTTGAATGACTATGGAATCAAGTTGAAGAAAGTGCCATTGTTATGTGACAATGAGAGTGCAATCAAGTTGACCAACAATCCGGTTCAACATGCAAGAACAAAGCACATTGATGTCCGCCATCATTTTATAAGAGATCACCAACAAAAAGGGGACATTTGCATTGAGAGTATAGGCACCGAAGATCAACTTGCCGATATATTCACCAAGCCATTGGATGAGAAAAGGTTTTGTAAGCTAAGGAATGAGTTGAACATATTAGATTTTCTCAAATATGTGTTGATGCATCCCCCACTTCTATGACATGCCTCTCCTTCAAGCAATCCAAGGTAAAAGTTGATTGTCATGGCATACATCCTTGCTAAGGACATAATTAGTGCATCTAGGCATTTCTCCATTTTATTAGGCTTATTCATGAAAAATCAAATAAATTTGATGTGTATATGGTATCACTATTGCTTCTATGCTTGACTTGATCTAGTGATAGCATATGACATGTTTGTGAGCTTGTGAACCTAGTGTTTAATCTAGAAAATGAGCTCTAAGTGTTTAACTCAACATGGTACAAGATAACCCTTAATTAGAGGTGTGAAGAAGTTTGTCTTTGGATCAAACCGAGTTAAATATCTTTGGCAAATATTCTAGTTTGAACCAAATTTGGGAATAGAATCCTCACCCCATTGATTGACATTGATACTCTCAACTTATCCACCTTTTAAACCTTTATGGTCATTGATGACAAAGGGGGAGAGAAACAAAGATATTAGTACATGGGGAGAAAAACAAAGATATTAGTGTACTAAGATAGTGAAAAGACAACAAAGGGGGAGAACTTGACATAGGGGGAGAGATATGACAAAGGAAATGAATCAATTAAAATTTTGAGCACACAAGTAGGGGGAGCAAGCTCATGAACTTGTATGGTGCATTTCATATGTTTGTTTGCATAACACATGTTTCAAATTTTAATATCCATGCTTGTGTGGTGTATGCTAGTTGTAGGTTTGAACGATGAAATGAAAAACTAGCATGCATAGGACATCTAATGATTTCATTTTCAAGTGTTGTTTCCAAGTGGTATCAAGCTAAACATGATGCTAAAGATGGTATATTAGTGCACTCCGATTAGTATCACGCTTCAAAGGTTCATCTTTTATACCTTAGCATCATTTGATGGATATTGTCTCCTACATTTCCTATCTAAGCATATGTGCAAGCTTCAATCCAAACTCTTAGCACATATGTAGGGGGAGCAATTGCTACCATATAGGATTCATGAAACTTGTCCATATCCTTTTATACATGGTAAATATGCTTAGACAAGCAACATGGATTCAATTGAATTTTAATTCATATCTTTGTATAAGGGTTGTCACCAATTACCAAAAAGGGGGAGATTGACAGCTCTAGTTTGGTTTTGGTGAATTGATGAAACCCTAAATGCTAACCTAGTTTATCAAGTGATCATGAGATAGGTAGCACACACTCCAAGTGGTGAAGCAAATGAAGATCATTGCATGATGAAGACGATGCTATGGTGATGATCAAGTGCTCGGACTTGGAAAAGAAGAAAGAGAAAAACAAAAAGCTCAAAGCAAAGGTATAAACCATAGGAGCTATTTTGTTTTGGTGATCAAGACACTTAGAGAGTGTGATCACATTTAGGTTTGATAGCCGTACTATTAAGAGGGGTGAAACTCGTATCAAAATGCGGTTATCAAAGTACCACTAGATGCTCTAACTCGTTGCATATGCATTTAGGATCTAGTGGAGTGCTAACACCCTTGAAAATGTTTGTGAAAATGCTAACACGTGTGCATAAGGTGATACACTTGGTGGTTGGTATATTTGATCAAGGGTGGTGAAGTTTAGGTGCAAGGGTAAGAAACTCCACCGGCGGAGTGTCCGTCCGTAGAGTGCGGACAGTCCGACGGTACCACCGGCGCCCTAGATAGAAAAGACGGAGGTCACTGTGAGTGACCGGACACTGGCCTCGGTTGGACCAGCGCGTCCGGTCAGTGGTAGCAGAGGGCGTGCGTTTCGGTCTCATGACCGGACGCTGGGTCGCTCAGCGATCGGACGCTGGCGGGGTGCGTCCGGTCAGTGCTGATGTACACTGACGTAGGGCGTATAGAGGAGACGTTGTGTGATCGGACGCTGGCTGTGTCTGGTCAAGCATGACCGGATGCGTCCGGTCGGGAAAAATCGTATTTGGAACCTTACTGGAAACGACCGGACGCTAAGGTCCAGCGTCCGGTCACTTTCTAACTGACGCGTCCGGTCAGCAAACGACCGTTGAAATCTGACGAACAATATTTGAAGTAGGGGACACGTGGCGTGAATCACGTGACCAGACGCTGAGGGCCAGCGTCCGGTCGATCGGACCGGAGCGTCCGGTCACCCCGCGTTGTGCCCAGTGAAGGGGTACAACGGCTCTATTTCGTGGGGGCTTCTATTTAAGCCCCATGGCCAGCTCAAGCTCACTCTCTTGACCATTTTCATTGACATAGCAACCTTGTGAGCTTAACCAAAGCCCTCCCACTCATCTCCATTATTGATTCATCATCATAGTGAGATTGGGAATGATCAAAGTGCATTGCTTGAGTGATTGCATCTAGAGGCGCTTAGTGTTCGTGTTTCGCTGTGGATTTCGCTTGTTACTCTTGGTGGTTGCCGCCACCTAGACGCCTTAGAGCAGCGAGGATCATCGAGCGGAGGGTGGTGATTGTCTCCGGCTCCGATCGTGGTGATTGTGAGGGGTTCTTGACCTTTCTCCGGCAGAGCGTCAAAAGATACTCTAGTGGATTGCTCGTGGCTTGTGTGATCCTCATCTTGTGTTGGTTGTGTGGCACCCTAGTGAGGGTTTGGCGTGTGATGTCAATTAGCGCGTGAACCTCCAAGTGAGTGAATCGCCACAACGAGGAGTAGCTTGCTGGCAAGCAAGTGAACCTCGGTAAAAAATCATTGTGTTCATCATTTGATTCCGAGGTGATTGGTCTTCATTGTTATTCATTCTTGTGATTAATTGGCTCCTTCATCTACACGGCGGTATAACTTTTTTGATTACTCTCTTTACATTACCGCAAACTAGTTGTCAAGCTCTTTAGTGTAGCTAGTTGTGAGAGCTTGCTTGCTTGGTTGGTGACTCTTTAGTTAGCCTTTGAGAGCACACTAACATAGGGTAGTGTCATAGCTATTGTGTGAATAGATACTATCTAAACTAGAATTGTAGTAGGCGGCTTGCATTTTTAGTAGGCTAGCGCAACACTTGCTTCGCCTCATAATTGTCTAACCGATTTGTTAAGTGTTGTTGTAGAAATTTTTATTAGGCTATCCACCCCCCTCTAGCCATTAGGACCTTTCACCAGTGGGAGAGCGCGCCGCCATCAAGTGGCCTCGCATCGGCGCCCTCAGCCTGCGCGTCGGCGACCCAGCGTCGAGCGGCGGCTCGTCCTGTTCTACCCGCGCGACGACGGTGGTGACGGCGGCGAGAAAACCAGGTAGGTCCCTCCCCTCTCCGTCCATCCTTCTAGGGTTAGGGTTAGGGTTAGGGTTTTGGGTTAAGGTTTCAATTCGTTTCTGCAAATTGAATCCCCTCCTACTTTCTTGTTCTGATCTACTCCAAGAGCTAGATCTACGTCTAGTTAACCTTGCTCTTGGTACCATCGATAGACAGCGGTGGATCTCTAGGCGTAGATCAGTAGGTAAATATTTAGCTTAGATAGAAGACTTGGGTCGCCAAGCGCAGTCGCGGCCAAGGCGCCACAACGACATGGCCACTGGGTTCGGAGTCGGGGAAGCCGTGCAGGCGCGGTCCAGTGGCAGCGACGAAGGCGATGGCGCTTCCCCAGTCTTACAGCGCGCCCTCTAGATCGGCTTAGGGATAGGAAAACCGGTGGGACGCTGGCGGCTGCGGTGAACCTCTTATCTTGTGCCGCAGCCCCCACTGTCCTTTTATGGCGCTGCGCGACGGGGGCCCATCAGCCAAGAGAACCGGCTGAGCGTCCTGATCAGAGCGCGGATAAGGGGTCAATTGGCCGTTGTGCCAACTGGTGAAGATCATCGTAACAAAGCCACGTCGACGTCGTGCCCAGCAGGTGTGTCCCGACGAAAGAACTCACGGGAGAAGAGCCCGAACGGCGGCGGCCCCATCGTCGTCGCTTCTTCTTCCAGCCCCTCCTTACTGCCGATGTCGACCTGGAGCACCCTGGACTTGTCCGCCGCGGCGCGCTCGGCGTTGCGGGCCACCAGCGCCGTGTGCCGCGCCGTCTCGGGCATCTTCATCCGTGAGTAGAAGGTGAGCGCCGCGGGCACGGCGCCGAACATGAGGATGATGCGCCACACCAGGTCCGCCTCCGCCGGCGTGGACGCCGCGGGGTCGACGTTGTACGCCGGCGCCGGGAACCGGCTCCGGAACAGCGCGGTGACACCGATGGCGATGGCGCCGGCGGCCTGGATGCCGAACCCCTGCATGGCGAAGACGGCGGCGACGAACGCGCCCCGCGTCCGCTTGTTGGCCTACTCCGACATGATGGTCGCCGACAGTGGGTAGTCGCCGCCGATGCCGAACCCGAGCCAGAAGCGGAAGAAGCAGAGCGTGGCCATGACGCAGGCCGGCGAGTGCCCGAACGAGAGGCCTGACGCGACGGAGCAGAGGATCATCGTCAGGAGCGTCATCCCGTTCACGCTCTTTCGGCCCACCCGGTCGCCGAGCCAGCCGAAGAAGAGCTGCCCCGACAGCGTGCCCACAAACGCCACGCCGTTGACGGCGGCGGACACGTGCGGTGGCAGGCTGCCCGGCCTGGGCGAGCCGTCGACGGTGTAGTAGACGCGGCCGATGAGCTTGGTGACGAGGGAGATGCAGAAGAGGTCGTACGCGTCGGTGAAGAAGCCCATGTCCGCCACGACGATCGCCGTGAAGTGGTACCACTGCGTCTTGGCGCCGTCCAGCGCCGAGAGCACCTGCATGTTCTGCCCCGGCCCACCCGCCATTATATTGTCGCGCCGGCCGCGATCGATCGCTGCTGCTCCAATCCGGCTGCCCAACTCTATGGTGGTATTGTTGTCTTCTCTTAAAACAATAATAGTGGAGACTGGAGTCCGCAGCCAATGTATGTATACTGAGGAGGAAGTGAGAATATTCTCGGCGCCGAGTTCTTCATTCCATGGATGCCAACTTCTTGGGCCACAAACTCTCCCTGCTCAACGGCTTCTTCCATGTTCCATGCAAAGCTTTGACGGGCTCCACCGTCAGTTTCATTCCATGCGGCACGGGGAACTCGGAGCTCGGTGGGGAGCAAATGGAGGCCCAATAGGCCTCGTTTTCGTTACACATAAATAACAAGGGCCTCCTTGGGACAGCAACGAGGCGGGCGGACTCCCGTATTTCCAGAAAAGGCCGACCCGATGGCCCAACATAAACTTTGACCTCTGACCGAGCACCACCATCAGAAACTTCTCCAGAGGGAGGCCAAAGCTCGCGCCGGCCGGTCCGGTCCAACGCGGCGACGCCAGAAATACTCCAGGGGCTGCCGTCCCTGGTCCTCCTCCTCTTCCTCCCAAAGAAACCATCCCCTTCCCCTCGCCAAACCACAGGAAGAAGCGAGCAGCCCACCCAGATCCCACCCTCTCCAGCGATGGCGATGGCGATGGCGCCGGCGCCTGCCGCCTCCTCGTCGTATGCGTGCGCGGCGTGCGGCGCGGACCTGAACCTGTCGGCGGCGCACCTGTACCCTGCGGACTTCTACTTCGAGGCCGGGAACAAGGGCACGCTGTCCTTCTCGTGGGTGGACGAGTCGCGCCTGCGGTTCGCCCCCGAGGACCGCATCCGCCCCTTCTTCGAGACCCTCAACTACTGGGGCATCCAACGGAAGCGCACGCGCATCAGCTGCGACGCCTGCGGCCGCCTCCTCGGCTACATCTACGACGACGGGCCGCCGGTCATGCAGGGCACCGGCCAGTTCGGGATGGGGCCCAGCCAGGTCATCCCGCGCCGCCCCAGGTACCGCTTCAAGATCAAGGCCGTCGCCGCCAGCTCCACGCCGCCTGCCGCCGCGTATGGAAAGTGATCCTCCGTAGAATTTCTGCGTCTCGTTTCTAGTCTTGTTGCGTGTCATGTCAGCTGTCCCGCTATGATTCCTTTGCTGTAATTTTTTTTTGTACGTAATCATTTCCTGTAAATTACGTATTAGCTTCCTATAATTCGTGTCATGCGTTGTTTTTCAACTTGTTCCTTCGGTGCCAATAATCTTTTTTTTAAATTGGTTGCGTAGCATTGAAAGATCACGATCTCCGTAAAGTACCATCGAAAGTTTGTGTCTCTGTAAAATACCATCAAAAGATTGAACCATGTACTGGAAATAGCATTTCGTTAAAATAAAGCGACAGAAGTTTCAGAAATAAAAGTAGCCTCCGTCACGCCTATACGGGTTGTTCTCGTGGACGCTCGTCGTGAACAGGAACGGCTCCTGCAGCACCACATGCCGCAGCGCCCGTGCTTGCGCACGTCCTTGCCGTCCCGGCTCTCGCTCCGCGCCGACGCCTCTCCCGATCCCGATCTGTGTACCTGTAACCTGCGTGGGATGGAGGAGGAGGAGGAGGAGGAGGCCCCCTACAACGAGACGTCCTCGACCGCATCGGCGACATCAGGGCGTTCGGCAGCTACGCCCTCGTCTCGCGCCGCTTCCACGCGCTCATGCTGCTCGTCGACTCCGTCTTCGTTCGCGTCGACTGCGTATCCCGACGACCTGCCGCCCTCCTCCTCCGCTGTACTGGGCTCCCCGCCGCACCAGGCGCTAGCTGCGGGCGCGGCGCGTTCGTGCACATCGCGCGTGTCCTGGTCGCCGGCATCGCCACACGCTCGGCCAGATCCTGTCCCCCGCCGCGACGGGCGTCTCCTGGCGCTCCGAGCCACTGCCCGCGCCCGTCCGGATGTCTCCCACCAGTCCACCACTCGCGCTTCTGAGGTACTCCACTCAGCTACGGCGCCTCCACATCGAGCTGGCGCTGACGATGCGTGCTCCTAAAGTGGAAGGCCGACTTTGGCTCCACCCTTGGCAGTTGCGTCATCCTCAGCGCCTCGTCGGTCTCGTCCAAGCCACCGACAGGGCCATGGTCCGGCGGTGGCGAAGGCGATGCGCTGCTTCTGAACGCTGGAACCTGTTGTTGGACGTGTGCTTCTTCAACTCGGCAAGGGCGCGTGCTTCTGGCCGCTGGAACCTGCTAGCGCTGGTGCAGCGGTTCTACGAGCCCACTTCCTGGCGCGTGCTCCTATAGTCCTATTTGGCAAGGATGTGCGCAAGCACAACCTGCTGGCGCTGCACGTGGTGGCGAGGTGTCGTACCGCCCTGTTCGCGGCGAGCATCCGCGACAACATTGCGTATGGGCGCGACGGAGACTTCCGTCCCTCCCGTGACTTCATTTTAACATAATGCTACTCTCAGTTCACGGTTCAATTTTTCAGTGATATTTTACGGAGCGCCAAACTTTCAGTGGTATTTTACAAAGATTGCGATCTTTAGATGCTACACAACCAATTTTCCCATCTTTTTTTATCTGTTTTGTAATGAAATTGAATTTTGGAGAATGGATACATATACAACTCTTCAGAACTCTTCGTAACGATTCTCAAAACATAGAAATAAAAAAAAACCATGATTGGAATGACATGCGATTGAAATCTTTTGGGGTATCTAGAATGCGGTTAATTTACTAATGATGAAGCATTTGGATGGTACACAAATGAAAAGGAAATATTAGAGCATCTCCAAGAGTTCTCTAAATCTCTTACTAATCCTGGTTTTTAGTAAGATGAGAAAAAACTTTTCTGCAACAACTCATAAATCCATCATTCTAATCTTTTAAAACTTAGAAAAAGTCACCATGTTCCGCGTAAAGTTACACGCTTCCGAGTTGCGCGTATTTTCTCTCTCCCACGTGTGTTTGTCGGCCAATCTATAGGTGGAAGGGTATGAAAAGAATAAAGAGTAGGAAATGTTTTCTAATGCAAATGTACAAGAGAGAGAATATATAAAAGTGGTTAGGATAATTTAGAAATAATATAAGATTTCTGATGTAAAATTATCTTCTATATTTTAGGAGTGGATTATTAGAAACTTGGAGATGGCCGTTTTTATTCCTTCCGGTATTTTTTTAAGTAGTAAAACTTCATGTTTTTATGAAGAAAATATTGGGTACTCTTGGAGATGCTCTTAGGTTATATTGTACTCCCTTTTTTTAACTTTGACATATTATATATAAAAGAATATTAATATTTATAATACATATTTAGTATTATTAGATAAATCGTTGAATATACTTTCATAATAAACTTATTTAAAGATATAAATGTTGCACGTATTTTCTACAAATCTAATTAAAGTTGAGAAAGTTTGACATGTACGTATCCCATAACGATTTCTATTTTGGGATAGAGGGAGTAATTTCAAAGAAATTCGTAAAATCTTAAAAAAAAAAGTAAGATCCACTCCTTTGTTCCAAAAACTCTCATCATAGGAAAAGATTTCAATAGGAATTCAAATCCTCGGAAATTCCTCCACTTTGTTGCAAAGTGGCCTCAGAAATTTCTCCACTTTTCCTCTGTTGCAAAGGGGCCTAAATTGCGAATTTGCGATCAAGCTGTGTGTGGTTTGTCATGGGTTTAGTGAAATTGTCAGGTGGCATTGTGGCAACACCTCTCACCCCAGTTGGAAAGAAAAGAACACCCAATCAAAGACAACTCGCGCATAACCATGCGCATATGATCATCACATGAGCAAACTAGAGGAATCACTGCATTGCACTGCTGAGTGGAACGTTGAGTTCAGAAGGACTTTTTGGAAGGAAGAAGTAAATGAATGGGACATACTGCTAGATATGCTTAAGTAGGTTCAAATGAACAATGACAAAGGCACAGTTATCTGGAAGCTAGAGAAATTAGGAAAATACACTACGAGATCGACGCGGAACTCTTGTTGCTAAGGCTAGCAGCGTATGACCCATGCAAGGAAACTATTCAGAATTAATCAAGAGGATGAACTAATCTGAGATATTTATGGGCATTCATGCAAGAAAAGAGAGAGATAAGAAGCTGACATGCAACGAAACTAGTACAAAATAAGAGATATAGAAAAGGAAAATTCAATCAGTTATGCAAGGAAAGTAATCAATTGGAAGGGTCCAATTAGAAACAGTACGTAGAGAACCTGAAGCGACGCAAAAGCGCCAAATAAAGAATGTGAGATCAATGTAATACGGAGTAGGATGGAAAATTTTAGGGTAATGGTTAGTAAAAGGAAAGAAAAAATCTGGAAATACAGGATGCTTCTGTATAACGGAGTTTTTATTGGGCTAGTTACGCAGAACAGGCTACAAATAGGTGTGCCTCTTTGGATAGTACTCCGTACAATATTTCTTCCGAAGTGGCGAGAGTTATCTTAAAAGCTTCTGATGGTGCCAAGTTGGACAATCTCTCAACTCTCAAGAACAGTGGCGCACCGGATGGACGATTTCACCGCAAGGGGATGCAAACTCTCAAGACTTCATGCAGTTCTACTTCGGCTGCTGAGGGTTGGGCCTTGGGCCTGTTGCTCCTGTTAGCTCTAGTGCTAGATGGTTCGTTTTGCTAGCTTGTGTTGGATGAGGTAAAACTCATTATTCGCTTTCTTTATAAGCACGGCTATCATTACACACGCATTGGGAGTTTTGCACAAACCTGCTGCTGCATGCAGCAGGCTCTGTTGGACGATCAGAACGAAGCAAGTGTTAAACAAGCAAAGATTTCTTCGTTATTCAGTAAAAAAAAGGGGCAATCATACAAACAATATCATTGATAAACTCTGCTAGAGCAGCAAAAGCATGGCATTACATCTGTTTTCTCCTAATCGACTGATCTACAGGACGAAGAACCGGGAAACAATTCCAGCTCCAGACAGGAGCAGATCAGAAGCACATGACCCCAGCTGCAGAAACCGCGACGTTGTCCTTGAAGCCGCCGCCTTCTTTCAGATCCACCTTCCTGAGCTTGGCGCCGTGATCGCCGTCGTCGGAGCCGGACCCCTCCACGCCGGCCCGCTTCTTGTTCCTGGCCGCCTCCGCGGCGAAGTCCGCGGCCGCCATGTTGATCAGGTGACGCGCCAGCTCCACGGTGGCGGCCAGCCCCGGGACCTGCTCCTGGAGCAGCCTCAGGGCGTCGGGGCCGTGTCCCTCCAGCAGGCCCACAATCTCGCGCAGCTCCCGCGCCGACCGCGCCGCCAGGAACATCGTGACGGAGTCCGGCGGTGGCGTCCCGGCGACGAGCGACGCGGCGTGGACGGCGTCCTCCAGGCCGACGGGCTCGTGCTCTCCCCGCGCGCCGGCGCCGGAGCCGCGGCGGCCTGCCCGGCCCGCGAGGCCGACGCGGAGCTCACGGCCGCGCAGCGCGTGGCCGTGCAGGTTGCGGCACGCGCTGCGCGCCGTCTCGTCGTCGGGGTACTCTACGAAGGCGTAGCCCCTGCGCTTCCCCGTGCCCGGGTCGGCGGCGAGGCGCAGGGAGCAGACGGGGCCAATCAGCTCGCACGCGTCGCGGACCTCCTTCTCGGACGCGTGGAACGCGATGTTGCCCACGTACACCACGCGGCTGCACCGGCAGTTCGCGGCCGCCGCAGCAAGGGACATGGCGCCGCCGTCCATGCTCTCGGATGGAAGAGGAGGCTGCAGATGGGTAGCTGCCGCGGCGGCCATCCGCGGTTATATAGCCGGCAATTCGACGTGGAGTCGGAGCCGGTATTCGTTTCGCGGTCGATTTCCTTTTTTCCTACTTGGATGTGCGCTTTGTTGCTTACGCTAGATGACGTCAGCGACAGCCAAGCCCACAGACCCTTCCGCCGCGTTCCCGACCCACCCGCGTAACCGCCCTAGCCCGCCCCAGATCGGATTCGGGCTCCGACCCAAACAGAGCATTATGGCCGTAGCTGGACGGGGCGGCCGCGCCACCGCGCTACTCCTGCGGGCCCCCGCGGCGCCGAGGCCTTGGCCGCCCGCGGGGGCGGGGGCGGGCGCGCGGTGCATCCACGAGGGGCCAGACACCATCGAGGAGCTGCTGGACCGGCACCTCGTGAAGAAGCCCGCGGCGGGCCCGGACGAGGAGTCGGCGGAGGCGCGGCGGCGGCTGACGAGCTCCCGGCGGGAGGCGCTGTCCCTGTACCGGGACATCCTCCGGGCGGCGCGGCTCTTCGCGTGGCCCGACGACCGCGGCGTGCCGTGGCGGGAGGTGCTCCGCGCCAACGCCAGGCGCGAGTTCGAGGAGGCCCGCGGGGAGCGTGACCCGGAGGTGGTGGCGCGCCTCCTCATCGGCGGCCGCGACGCCGTGCAGCAGGCGCTCGACCGCCTCGCCGACGCCTCACGCCGCGCGATCGAGGCCGAGGAGGCCAAGCGCCGTGGCGGGGCGTAGATTTGGAGCTGGATATTTCAAACCTACGCGTCCTGTGGTAGCAGCATCTGCTTAATCTTGTTGTAAGCGACGATCTCTAATTCTCAATGTCTGTTATGAAAATGGTTTAAAGGATCAGGCTATCTCAAGCAATACTACTATGCATGTTTGATTTTCCCTTTACAAGAATCTGAGAGAGAAACACTTCGGTTTCTAGCATTTGATCCGTGAATGATGTGTCGAGTGCCGTAGAATGAATACAATCAGCTCAGCATTTTTACTTTGTATATAAAGGGAAAAAACAACTTTGTACATCATCCTACTTTCAATTGCTACAAAAAGTGGCTTGGTCCTTGTCCAATGTGTGTAATCAGTTATGGGTTAGATTTCCCCCCAAATTGTCTGAAAACATGAAACAGAAGTTCCTTCCTGGAGCGTCTGCTAGAGTACCTGGGAATGGGTCTCTCCAGTATGTGTCCTCAACTGAATACATGCTGTAGTAGCCTGCCTTGTGTCAGTTTTGTGAAAGCCCGGGTGCTATCAGAACACTCCGCATCCAAGTGTCCTGCTCTAGCAGAATCTCATCCAGTTCAGGCATTCCATCATCAATCTTAACTTGTTCACCAGTAGTCACCACAGCAACAAGAGCCATCTGAAAATATGTGGTATATCTTTGTGTCACCAACTACAATCTTCCGCCCCGAATATTTTGATATCAACTTCAGTGCATGATGGCAGTGGTTGCATACACGCACATTCTTCTTGACAAGAACAGGGGTCCCAGCCTCAGATGATATCAGACCAAAGGCAACAGCCAGCCTTACACTATGCTTATTTGGAAGTACTGTTGTGCTTGAAGCAAAAGGATCTGAATCGCGGAGATTACTTGAGCTATCTAAATCTTCTCCGATATTTCTTGATAGGATATCAGAGAATTCATGAATTTTCTCGCTCTGAGGGTGAGACATGTCCCCATTGACAAAACTGCACTCTTTATCATTAAGCTCGACGAGGCTTCTTGCCTCTGTCCTTCGGAGCCCCTTCTCCTTCATCAGAGATCTTATCCTCTCCACATCCTCCCATCTCCCGGCATCAGCATACATGGAAGACAGAACAACATAACAGCCTGTGTTGTTGTGTTCCAGTTGGAATATCCTCTCTGCTGCGTATTCTGCTATATCAATATCATTCTTATTTCTGCTCGCTGTCAGCAAGGAACCCCAAATTCTGGATGTTGGAGCTATCGGCATGTTTTCAATAAACCGCAGCACCTCTCTGAGGTCACCTGCCCGGCCCAGAAGGTCAGTCATGCATCCGTAGTGCTCAATCTGTGGAATCATACCATACTCCTGATGCATTGAATTGAACTCCTTCCAGCCCTCAGCCTCCAGGCCAGAAACACTGCAAGCAGTCAACACAGAGACAAAGGTACTCTCATTTGGTTCCATACCATTACACTTCATCTCATCGAACATTTCCAATGCAGTCTTTCCCTGTCCGTGAATTGCATATCCTATGATGATTGTATTCCAGGAGATAACATCCTTGCAGGGCATTTTGTCAAAGATTTCCCTTGAGGCCACAGTATCGCCACACCTTGCATACATATGCATAACTGCGTTCATAATGAGAGTGCTGTCTCCATAGCCTAACTTGATAATGTAGCTATGCATTTGCCTGCACTGTCTTAATGAACCTAGCAAGACGAATGCCGGTACTACTGCTGTCATGGTGAAATAATCAGGATAAAGAGGTTGATTCAGTAGCTCCAGGAACAATGCGATGGCTTCCTGGTACATTTCCATGTACATGTAGGCAGCAATCATATTATTCCATGATACCAGAGTTTTGTCTGTTATCTGACCAAATATCTTTTCAGATGATTCCACTTTGCCAACCTTGCCATACATCTCCAGAAGAGCAGTCTCAAGCACTACGTGAGGAAGAAAATGTCTCCGAACCACATAAGCATGAACACTCCTTCCATATAGTGAGCTTTCAGTTTGAGCACATGCAGTAAGCAAGTTGATAGCAGTGACCACTTCCACCTGGAACCCGTCCGCTCTCATTTGCATGAAGCAATCAAACGCATCCACAGGCCGCTCATTCAGCGCATAACCACCTATCATACAATTCCATGTCACCACGGTCCTCAGCGGCATCTTTGCAAAGACATTCTCAGCAAAGAAAACATTGCCACATTTGCAGTACATGTCAACAAGAGAAGTTCCCACCTTGACATCCTGCTCGAGCCCGTGTCTGATGGCATAGCCATGTATCTCCCGCCCCTGCGCCAGGGCCGACTCCAGGCAGCAGGCCGCGAGGGCGGCGATTACCCCAACGCTGTCATGCCCCACCCGCAGCTCGTCCTTCATCTCCCGGAAGCACGCCAGCGCCAGCGCCCCCATCCCGTTGGACACGTACCCGTCCACCATCGTGTTCCACGAGACGATGTCCCGCGCCGGCATTCCGTCGAACACCCGCTCGGCGTCCCCGACCAGTCCCAGCTTGGCGTAGAGCGCGACGAGCGAGTTGGCGGTGTACACGTCGGCGCCGAGGCCGAGCTTGATCACGGCCGCGTGCGCGGCGCGGCCCCCGCCCAGAGCGCCGGCGCGCGCGCAGCACTTGACGACGACGGGGAAGGTGAAGCGATCCGGGCGAGCGCCGGCGGCGAGCATGGCGCGGTACGCCGCGAGCGCGTCGAGCGGGAGGCCCGCGTCCGCGAACCCGCGGATCATGACGTTGTGGAGGAACGCGCCGGGGCTGCTGACGCCCGCGAAGGCGTCCGCGGCCTCGTCCATGCGGCCCGCCGCGACGTGGGAGAGGACGAGGGACTTGGGACGGGAGCCGGAGCTGGGGACGGGGATGGGGCGGGGAGCCCCTCCCTCGCCGTGCTTGGGCCGCGCGCGGGGCGGAGGCTCCTTGGAGGTGGCAGCGGTGAGGTGCTGGGAGGCGCAGGTGGTGGCGGAGGCGGCATGGGCTGCGCGGGAGGGGAGGAGCAGCGGCGTGGCCATGGTGGGGCGCGTGGGGTGGGGCGGAGGGAAGCGAGATGGGGATATTTTTCTGCGTCGGGTTTTTGCTCTCGCGGTTTATCCAATCAGGGGAGGGAGAGGAGGGAAGGAACGTGTCGCCGGGAGGGATTCCATTTGCTCTGCAGCCTGCACTACCCACGGCCCAAAGGTTGCATTTCAAATGGCAAACGCGTCTGCAGCAGCTGCCGTGCCGTATTCATGTGCAGTATATATACATCCAAATAACAACTACTCCGTACGTACGAGACATCGCAGACATTCAACTAGGAGTAAACAAACTGCAGCATGACACTATGCCATGAATATCACAAATCTGACCGAGTCTAGAGGCGCCAAGCACCTAATATGAACGAACCATTTCGTGCGTTTTTTTTTTCAAAAAAATAAACATAACTGCATCACAAACTGGTTATATAGATAGGGACCACGTTATCCCAATCAAAATTTCGTAGCATATGCTTGATATTACAAGTTGAAGAATAAGCAAGTGTCTGACAAAAAGAAAAGACTGATTCAGCTGCACCTCACTTGACCCTCTAGCTTCTTGCTTGATGTCCTACACTTCAGTACTTGGCCCTCTAGCTTCTTGGTTGATGTCCTACACTTCAGGGGCTCTAGCTTCTTGCTTGATGTCCTACACTTCAGGGGCGTTTGGTTTCCTCGTTGTATTGTGCTGCCTTGACGAGCGAGGATTCCGAGCAAAGCTGTGCATTTGCCTGAGTGCTTCGGGGTGTTTATTTGGTTTCCTTGCCTGAGTGCTTCGGCTGTGTGTATTTGGTTTCCTTGCCTGAGTGCTTCGGGGTCTACGCAGGAAAAGATTTGGCTTGCTAGCGTGAGAGTATGTCCTACAGCTACACTGTAACATGATAGAACGCAATGAGTTCAGCATGATAGAACACAGAGTGCACGGTGATACAGCAAACACGGTGAAGGCCAGTACCTTGTTATCAGTTAACAGATACTGTAACATGATAGGACGCAATAGTACAGTAGTACACGGTGTTAACAGTGTTGCATCCTGGAGATCAAGGAAGCCAACTTCGCACAGAAAGGAGGATGTGAACTTCAGCCTCTTATTAAAGGGTTCCAAGACCTGAGCAATTGCTACCTAGAAAAAAGAAGCATTGGAAATACTTCTAAAAGGTTGAAAGAATGAAAACTTTAAATTCCAGTTTTGTTACTTGCAGCAGAATTTTTAGAGTCAACAGAGGCATCACAAAAAATCCTAGGTGTTGAGAGAATGAAAACTCCAAATTCTAGTTTGGTTGCTTGCAGCAGAATTTTGAGTCAACAGAGGCATCACAAAAAATTCCTAGGAGCACCGTGCGGGGGCCAATTTTCAGCAAAAGATGTGTCGCGCCATGTCTTGTCAGGACATGCATGAATTTGTGGTTACAAACTATTCATACATACATGGTACAGTTTGTACAGCGACCGAAAAAATGATCTGCCGTTGCTATGATTCAGAGAACATTATCTGCGACGAGACTCAACTAAACGAATGTGTAGTTCAGATTTCTATAACTCAGTGAACCATCTCGAACCTCAGATGTTCTCTGCTGTGTGACATGTCATATACATAGTATCGAATCATGCATCAGAAAAAAGCAATTAACCACATTGTTTCCTTTCCTGGGCCTGCAAAATGGAAAAGCATCTATTAGTTCCATGTATTTGAAACATTTTACGTTATTGTCTATCATATAAAGCAAATACAAAGCTAGTGAATTCTAAAATGGATCCTTATTGTCCACAAATGGAGGCACACTACCAGTCACAAGTCATAGCTAATTACCTCTTGAAGTTTTCGGAACACCGACGCTTCCAAATCATTAAATCCAGTTCCATCAATATTGCTTGTCCTTGATTCATGTGTTTGTGTTGACCTCGCTGATAATCCACCCGATTCTTGAACAGGAGCAACATTTAATGGAAACAGAGAGAAATGGTTCTGTATTGCTAATAACTGTAAAACAGAGAAACAAGTAT